TGAAGGAATAGGAATGTCATCACGCAAATTTATGTATCCAAAGTATGTTGATTATGATCGTCAGTTGGGATATCCCTTGATGCCTACTTTTGTAGGCAATTATTTTTGAAAATGAAAAAACGAGAAAAAATATACCAAAGAGAAGTGAAGAAAAAATATTTTAACAAAAAACAACACGGTTTAGACTTCAATAGCAATTTTTATGTGAATAGGGATTGGGGAAACAAAAAGAGGAAAATTTTGAAAAGAGGGTTTTTATTTTATTTTGTTCGCAGGTTAAGCTGTGGCCGCCTTTGAATAGGCACTTTTTTAAAATAAAAATTCTTGGATAAAATCCAACGAGGAATAAAGAGTTTTCCGATCAATTGAAATCATTTCAACAATTAGAGATGAAAAGTCAAAATGGTCGAAATAACATCATATCACATGATTTTTTATATATATAAAAAACAAAAAAAATAAAAGACATACGATCTTGATCGATATCACACCGATTCGTATGAATCAACTACCATTCGATTTCATGCAACTAGACGAATCTAATAAGCTAACATTCATTAATTTCGAATCATCCAATCTTGAGATAATTGCAATTGTATTATCGGCTGAAATTATGAATCAATAAATTCTACTTTAAATAAATAAGTCTGAATTTTGAAATTCGATTGCAAATATCTCGTGATAGGCTGATCCAAAATCAATGAATATTAGCTCATTATATTCGTCTAGTCATGAGGAATTGAATAGTAGTTATTTCATACGAATCAGTGCAATATTAACTGAGATTGTACATTTTTTGTTTTTTTTGTTTTTTCTATATATAAAAAATCATGTGATATGATGTAATTTCGACCATTTCGACTTTTCATTTTGACTTTGACCTCCAAAGTCAAAACATTTCGACTTTTAGGTTTTCATTTTGACTTCATGTATAGATGCAGCATACCGTATATTTTGTGTTCAAAATCTTAAGCAGCTTTTAGAAGACAATGGACAATTATCTAATGACAATAAAGGTTTATTTGTATATTTATTCATTATGGGTAAGTTTTTTTATTATTTAATTTTTTTTTATATTTATATATATATATTAAAATAATTAACATATAATTTATTATAAATAGGTGAATTATTAGATAGTTATCTTAATCATGAAATCTCTCATTTTGAAAGAATCAAAATGATTACAAGAGCTTACTTTTTTCTTCATCTTTAGTGTTTTCATATTAAAACCATTATTTAAATATATCCTAATCATATGTCTTTAGTGCATAATTTTTTGGTTTCACAAAGTTTTAATATTTTTACAAGTCTAACAGAATCTCTTTTACTCTTAATTAAAATTCATTGTGAATTTTATTCAACTTTTCCTTTTTTATCTTAGAAACATGATATAGAAGCATGTGAACATTTTTTTGGTATTGCAAGACAATTACATAACAATTTAAATATAATGATATTTTAAATCTTATTCCAAAAATCACTCATTATACAAAATCAATTAAAGCGAAAGGTATTATTTTAAATAAAGAAAAACTGTACGCGAAGGTATATTTATTTATTATATTTATTATTATTAATTTTTAATATTTATTAAAATATTCTATATTATAGGTTATCAATTTGATATTTACGAAATACTTGATTAAAAAACTCTTGAAACTCTTCGTTTTTGGCCAACAGATATTGAAATAAAAAGTGCAATTAAAATTGGTTTTTATCAAGCATCTAAACTTGCTGAGATACTAGCTATGAAAAGAAAATCAGAATTCATAACGTATTTTTCTAGTAAAAATAGCTTATTAGAAATTCATAATAATAATGATAATGATATTATATTTAATAGTTCTAATAATAGAGTTGATCAAAATAATATTCAAGATGAGCAATTTGAATTATCAGCAGCCTTGTCTATTTTAGTAAATGAGATATTTACGACATTTGATAATTTACAGGATATTCAAAATACTGATGATACATTACCTTTTGATTATAAAGTTCAATTGACAGCTTTGCAAAAAAGTCTTTATATAACAATTGTAATAGTATGTATAACTTTAAAATTTTTATATTACTTTTAAAATTAATTTATTTATAATAATAATATTATTTTTTTAAATAGGTACGAGCTTTACTAGTTATAAATTATCAACCGGTAAATTAAATTTACAAGTGATGATTGAAGAAAGGAAATTATACAATACATTCACACACAGAGTTTTGTAACGTCAAAAATTTCATCAAACAAATCCCAAAATAGAAAATAATACTTTAATTCAATCAAATATTACAAGTAATATATGCGCTTATTTGGTTAATAATAATGATATAATTACTCAAACGCGTAAATAACAAAAATGGCAAAATCATTGAAAAAATCGTACAAAAATATGTACTCAAATAGAAAAACTTTTTAATTGTTCAGGTATTTATTTACTATATATTATTAATTTATTAATAAATTTTATTAACAATGATTTTTATATTTTAGAACAATTGACAACTGCAAATATTACTTTTATATTTTCTCTTATTACTAACACATTTGTTATTTATTTTTAATGCTCAATTATATATTGCAAAAGTAATTGCAATGTATAAATGAAAGGATAAATTTCATTCTTATGTATCTCAACCAATAACAAATATTCAAGAACTATCATATATATCTCTTTAAGTATTTACACTTGTTCAAAGTCATATTTTTACAGAGTTTGATAAAAATGGGTATTCTCTTTTTTTATATTGTGATCTGATACACATTGTTTATAATATTGGAATAACTAATGTACAAATAGAAGAGAATATTCTTTTTTTAAAAGGAATAGCTAGAATTATATTTACTGATCTTAATAATATTAAAATTTGTAAAGCTTTAGCAGACTTTTGATCATATATAAAATAAAATTGTTATTGCTTATGTTATAGATTAAATTTGTATATTTTTATTAATTTTATAAAGTTATAATTAAAATTTATATAGAGATCATAATAAAAAAATGTATAGAAATCATATAAAAAAAATTTTTTTTTGCTTATGACCTATCTTATAAGTTTCCGGGATCCTGTATATCCACTTATACATGCGTTAATAACTCTGAGAATGGCTGTTACATGTACAATTCACAAAATATTATATAGTTCTGACTCTGTGAATAGTGAACATAGTTCTAGCCAAAAGGTAGTAATGGTTTCAACCCAAAAAAATTCATAGAGTAGAGATTCGATACATGTATTTTTTTATTAAATTATATTATTAATAAAGTAAGTGTGTCAGATAATAAAATTTTCTTGGCAATTTTCAGCCAGTGCGTCCTGGTCAAAATCACATGATTTTTTGCTGACCAATGATTAGAATATCACATGAAATTCTTGATCAGAGCTAATATTTCTAGCCGATCTGCCAGATATGTCACGAAACTGACACGTGAATTTATTAGTAAAATAAACCATTTCATTGCTATAGCCTAATGCAATGTTGGGAAATTGGACAATTTTAGGTAGTTTTGGACAGGTTTTGGACACAATTTCATATGTCCAAAACCTTGTCCAAAACTAAAAAATGTGTCTAAAACCTATCACTAGCCTAATGGGTATATTTTTATATGTAAACTTTTTTTTGTGCAAAATTATATCTAATAAAATTTTTCATTCTAACTATAAACATATTATCAATAGACTTCTCGAAAGCCTTATCAAAAGAGCGTATGAGAGACTCTTATATTATTCTAAAGATCCTGTCCAGTTAGAATCTATTTCCAAGAAGTCTGAACGAATTGAATCTTATTTGAGACACATATTAGAGGTTTATGAGAATTCATTAAATAGAAAAAGCAAATCTATGGCTCAGACAAAATTATTACGCCCTCGAAGCTAACCAGAATGTAATGTATTCCCAGTATCACTAGCTATATATGTTACTGATATTGGAGTCTAAACTGATAACGTTAACTGGTTGAAAACGCTAAAGCATGATTATGAAAAAGAAAACAATCGTTGGATCATGAATGAACTTAAAGTGTTCTGCTAGCACCTGCTTAATTATAATAAAAGTTCTTTCAAAAAATTCATGCAAGACATAAAAAGGGAATATAGAGAGCGGATTAGTATGAATAAGAAATTGCAATGTGAAAATAAGGATTTGAAGATGCAGTTACAGGAGGTGGAAAAAGAGCTGGTATCTATGAAGTTGAATTCTATTCATTAGTGAGAATTTGGTCCCAATCAAACTATATCCAATGTGGATGCTCAGGAGGTATAGTTAGATCGAAAACAATGAATTTTTTCTCACATAATACCTTATCAATAATCTTAATCACACTACGCTAGTCATTAGCATATTAACGCACAATGTTGACTAGCTCATCTGTAATGCATGATCTATTAAATAGGTAGATATGTATGAGATTTTTTTGTATTATTTTTGGGCAATCAAAATAACTCTGGGATACATATATTGAACTGACATTATAATGGCGCCCTTCAATAAAATAAAGAATAATTTTCTTTTACACTTTCTTTGGATTGGCACATATATCTTCAAATATAGCTATTGTATCCTGTCTGGAAAAAATGAATCTACCTTGGGGATCTTATCAGGCTTCAAAGTCTGGAATATAATATTTTCACAATATGGCTTTGAACTGTTAGCAATTATCTGGAATGCTGTTTTGAGGTATATATATTTCAGCTCTTTAAGTTGGTGACCAATGAGTAGTAAATCATCATTCTTGATATAGCGTGTCCCTTTCTTCTTCTTATTAAACATTCGATAAAGCTTAGTTCTGAGCATGAGATTAAGAATCTCATTAGTTTTTCCTGAATTGATATGGCCAAAGATGCCCAAAATGAAAGACCATTAGGGAATACTCAAAAGTCTGTTATATTTTTTGGCATCTTTAATCTCGTTGATGTGGATATACAAGCCCATCAACTGGTTTAAGTTTATTTATTTTCATATCAAATGGAGTATTATTAATGATGTACTAAAATAATTCCTTTTAATTCTTCACCTCTTTTAAGAACTCTTTTTCAATTAGAGTATGTCTAATATAGGACAGGAGATTAGCTGTATAGGAAACTTCAATAAGACATATAGCTTGCTTCTTGCATATATTCCGCTTCTTCTGATTACACATTTTCTGTTCATCCAAATCTATCTGGCTTCTCCTATGAAATATTGAATTAAGACTATAGTATTGCTAACCATGGAATTCGAATGCTAGTTATAGTTCTTTGTTATACCTATTGAGTTGCATTCTATCCAAAAAATTCGGCCTGCATGATGAAAATTTCTTGCCTAGTAGATCTTTGAAAACATATACCATACTGCTGGATTACAATATGAATATTTAGTATAATTATTAAAAAATAAGAAGATTAACATTAAATGATGCCTATGCAGTTGCAAAAAGCCAGAGTGAATAATATCTCTTTACTCAATATACTAATAATAAAGATCCATTATTATGGCATTGCTTGAATAATCATGAATAGTATGCTCCTCTTCATCGTTTTAAAAATCATAATAAATGGTATTCTACTTATAGCCATGATAAAAGAAGATTAGATGTTCTTATTGCAAAAGAGATAGCATTAAGAAATAATGGAAAATGTATTTCAGATTCTTATATTAATAATCAGACATCATTATTATGAGAATGTTATAAATCCTATCAGTGGCAGGTAAGTCTTAGTAGTGTAAAAAATAATAGCACCTGGTATCCATATTGCAGCCATATTAATCATAATATATTTAAAGAAAAACGTAATCTTGAACTTGCTAAAAAAATTACATTATCAAAACAAGGATGATGTTTTTCAACAGATTATATTAATAAAGATATACCACTTCTTTGGACTTGTTAATTTAATCATTAATGTAAACATCACTTTGTAATATAAAATGACAAAATGGATCATGGTGTCTATATTGTGCAAAAGTAGCATTACATACTATTGAGGATGTTAAACAAATTGCTCTTAATCGAAATGATCAATATTTTTCTACACAATATATTAATAATAAAAACCTATTATTATAATGTTGTTCAAATAATCATAAATGGTATGCGAGTTTTACTTCTATTGCAAATGAACATACATGGTATCCATACTGTGATAAATATAAATATGAAAATTTATGTCGAGAAATTGTATCAAAATATCTTGGGCCACCGTTAGCAAATCGTTAACCTGATTTCCTAAAAACATTAAATCATCTGAGAGGACTAGAACTTGATATTTCTTACTACCATTATGGTTTTGCAATTGAAGTTTAAGGAATACAGCATAAAAAATATCATGAGTTTTTTCATAGAGAGGACCCTAAGAAATTTACTGAACAGCAGAAATGAGATCAACTTAAGAAAAAACTTTGTGATGAAAATCATATATCATTAAGGTATATTTAATATTATAAAGACCCATTCAAGAAAATTCTAAAGATCCTTCAAGAATTGGATCTTATTTCTTAACCATAATTATTCAATATTACTTTTTGATAAATAACCTTTTTTTACCAATATATGTTTAATAAAAGGAAAAAAATCACACGTATATGATACTAAGATAAGACATATACCTTTTTGCTTACATAAGTCTTGCTTTTTTATCATGCATTCTCTGCTCATCCAAATCTATCTGGCCTCTCTTATGAAACAAAGAATTGAGAGTATAGTGTTAAGATCCCTGGTATTCAAAAGCCAATTTTAATTCCTCGTTATAACCATCTAAATGCATCTCATCCAAAAATGATGGTCTACAGAATGGAAATTTCTTGCCTAGCAGATCTTCAAAAATATATCGTACAGTTCTTTCACTACTATGTTGACAAAGAGGATACCATTTGAATTTTTTCATGATATACTTTAATGAATACTCCCATTGATGCGCACAATCCTCACAAGACCAAAGATATACATTATGTCCATTTATTTCTCCAGTCTTTCCTAAACATTGACTACCATGTCTTTAAGCATAAGCAATAGCTTGGTTTAATTCATAATTGATAGGAATAGCATAGACGAAATTTATGGATAATATACTTTGAGGTGGATACCCAACTTTTTCTAGATCAACTATTAACATTAGTTCTTTTCACACAAACCCCCACTTTGGTATAAATTCATCACCTTCGAGATAATATAATACTGGCTCATTCTTTATTACTACAATTTTCCAGATTTTATGAATAGAAGGTGAGTATATAAGATCAGTAGCCCTCTTTTAATTCTCTATTCCTCCTTTCCATTTTGCAATAGCAAGAAGATATCAAAAAGTATCACCTTTCTTTAACATTATTTCATCTTTTCCAACTGGGCGCTTATATTTTGTGGATAGTCTCAATACTACTTTTTCTAACATGATAGCTTTTATAGGTGCAAAACCCTATTTCTTAGTCCCTAGTTCTCGAATGAGACGTGTAGGATAATTATTTAGATAATCAATAACCATTTGCAAATGCCTAACCCATACTTTTATTAATTTCGAATTAGAATATATAGATTCAACAGCATCTTGGATTTTATAGAGTATTTTTGTGAGTGTCTGATTAAAATGTTCTAGAAAAGCTACTCCTCGATGAGAATATGAACCAATCACTTAAATAGTAACATTATGCTTTTTCATCAATTGAAAAGTCTTTCCCATAAATTCACGACCTTCCTCACATTGTAAAAGCTCTAGCTATACAAGTGGATTATTAGGATCATCATATATTTTTCTGAATACTCTAGTAACTTCTGAACTCTTCTTCAAAGTGAGTAGAACAGAAGCCTTATATCGGAAAGTGCAGTTTATTATATTAAACACTGCTATATATTTTTATGCTTTTAATGATCATGTATAAGAAATAATAAATCACATTGGTATATGCAATTTGGGCATGTTATTCAGCTATAACTACATCTAGGAATATTCTTCAAGGGAGTTTTATGTATTTGATATATATGTTGCCATTCTAAAAAATCATGGCATTCTTTTAGGCAGAAATGATGACCTTCTTTTATACATGCATCTTTTAAGGATTTAGGATTAGAATAATATCCAGTTGGATGATAATATATATCACGTAATATAATATTTTTTTCAATTTTCTGGGCCTCATCAGGATCTATTTGGATTATAGGAACTCTTACTTCTTTATTCATCCTTTTCTCATCTCTCAAAAAGATAGAACTATCTATAAAAAAAAGATAGAATAGCATTGATGTCTGAAAATGAAGTATATGAGAGTCAGATACAATTTCTAAAACGTGATTTATATTATAGTGAGCTAAAGTTATCTCGATTATATAAAATAAAAGAGATTTTAGAGTGGGAGATATCTGATCTTTAAAGCCAGATAAGGGCGTTAGAGATAAAAATCCATAATCTGGAAAAGATTGCAGAGTGTAGATTGCTATTTATAACTTTTCGAGAAGATCAGATATCA